AAAAAAAAGTAGTATGTTTGAAATGATTTTTTGATTTTTTATGAAAATATATACAAAAAGTAAAAAGAAAATAAAATTTTTAATTTTTTAATATGTATTATAGATTTTTTGATTTTTTTAATAATTTTTTAAATTTTTAACTAAAATATAAGATACCAAAACGAGGTCTAAGTACGAGTATCTCTAATGGGCGGCTAAAAGCCTGGCCATTGCCAAAATTTTGCAAGAACTCAACAAAATTGTGCTCCAGTGGTCTACTATCTCTCCGGCCAAATTTTGGCAATGCCATTACATGTGCCAAATTTGGCAGGAGGTTTAGCAATTGCCAATCTTGCCACATGAGCATTCCCAACCATATTCCTCTAATCCCTTCTTCTTTCGCGGTAAAAACCCCAATCAATCATTTTTAGAGAAAAAAAAATCTGGTTAAAAGTTCAACAAAATTCAGGAATAAAAAAGTAACAAAAATTCAAGAATATAAATTCAACAATTTTAAACAAGAAATCAACAAATCAAAAAATAAAAAATTGGAGATGTGGCCAAACCATGAGAGAGCTTTAATCGTCATCTCTAGTTGTTACACCTTTGATTGTCAAAACTTCGGCTGATCTCCGATCATGATAATCTTACTGGCAACTTGTGAAACCCATATCGTCATCTCCAAAACCAAATGATTGTGTTCTAAAACCTAAATCGTCCTATTTGATTCTCAAAACATGATTCAATACTTAGATCTAGATTTGTGTGTATGAGAGAGAGAGAGAGAGAGAGAAAGAGAGGGAGATCGAGGTTTGATATATAAAAGGGTTCACCAGCATTGCGGATTCACTATCGATGATGAACTATTTTCTTCATTTGGTGAGAGAGAAGAAAAAATTGGATTTGATTTCATGGGAGTTTATCATTGATGGCTTTGGAGAGAGAGAGAGAAAGAGAGAGAGAGAGAGAGGAGGTTGTTGTTAGCATTTGTGCCCTCAAAAACCAATTTGTTGACTTTATCGACTAATTAAATAAATTGCTTGGCATTTTATTTTGCACTTTGTATATTATTATTATGGGTAATGTTATATTTAATGTTACATATGATGTTAACATAAGGTCCCTTGGGTAACATTGTAGAAAAACATGCTAATGGTTAATGAACCAAAACCTGGGAGTTATGATTTTTCGGTGCCTTGTAGACCCAATTAATGTTCTAGGCTATGAGTGTTGATTGGGCGTCGCACTACTATGGCCTACACCTATTTTGCTGTTATATGATAGAATGATTAACTCCATCATTGAGGTAGTGACCTTAAGCAAATAGGTGGGTGTTATGCAATAAGTACATGCACTGAACAGAATCGGTTTTAAGAACACCTATGGAATGATCACTATCAGTTTAAAAGGTAGTTCTATTACAATACACTTATTTTCCTTTGACCTAAGAGGCTTGTATAAATTAATTATCTATTCATTTAACTTTGACATTGTCAATCGGTGACGCCGAATCAAAGGCTATACACGGACATGTTGGGTTATGTGAGTGGTAATTAATTTATATAGGTGCTTAACATGGAATCCACTATTCTCAAGTGAGAAAGTATATTCAAACAATTTTTCCTATTAACATTGGACCAAAAGAAAACCGGCCGGTTACTGTTTCGTAAAAATATTTTATACATATATAATTGTAAAAATACTATTTTTGGAAAATGCTTTTAGGGTCCAATTAGAAGAAGGAAAAATTTAGAATTCGGTTACATGAGTTAGGGTTTTTGATAGTGATAAATTTGTCCATACCTAATAGCTCATGTGGAATATAGTTTGGTGGAAGGAAATTTGTGATTAATTGTAAGAAAGGGCCTCACTTGTAATTCTCTACTTTTAGGGGTTTAATTGTAATGTGTTGATGGACATTATTGCAATTAGTGGAAGTTCTATATTATCTGTTTAAAAGATAATTAATGAAAAATTGGATAAGTTATATCCTGTATATTTAAAATAAAAGATACATCTTTTATTTTATCCCCACAACTAAAAGATAGAGATCCCTAAGGATCCCACTTACATGCAAACTCTATCATGTGTTGTGTATATATATCAGATGTATTTGATACAAAAATTGGCCATCAGAATTTTTAAGGTCTGTAGAAAATATATACACAAAAAAAAATCAAAGAGGGTGCAAGGTGAATCACTTTGGAGGCGAGACACTTGGATCGCTTGGTGAGGTATTATCAACAATTCACTTGGAGAAGGTATTTTAGATTGCGTATTCATGTGGTGTTTCTTTGAAAAAGTGTTTTTAAAATAAATTATTTTTTCGCAAACTTTCAGTTGTCACATCTAATATCATAACGAGTTGTAACTAACACTACAATGTGAGTAACAAAGTTATAATTAAGTCATAACTAACACCCAACCTAAGAACATAAAAATCATAACTAGGGACATATGATACACATTCTAAAAGAGGCCATATAATTTCCTTAAATAGGGATAATAATATATACATTTTAATACAAAACATATGACATTATTATTTTTTCATTCAAATAACTAAAGATTTTTTTTTTATAAAAAGGGATGTAGTGTTATGTGAATTAAAATTTTAGAAAAATTATAATATAATCATATTAAACTAGTAAAATTTCATTTATTTTTTTCAAACCTTTCATAATTTTCTACTTAATTTTCTCTCCCCTACACAAAATGGCCATCTCACCCATCCTTCCTGTTGGAATCCTGACTAGCATTACCATAACTCAAAAAAGAAAAAAAAAATTTATTGATTAGTGCGTGGCATAGCCCCATCAATCACAAAATATCATATTTTGTATTATTTTTTAATTAGGATAAATTATAAATATATTTTTTTGAAGTTTGTTTAAGATATAGATTGTTCCTGTGATTTAAAAAATTACAAATACCACTTTGTTAATATTTTTTATTTAACAGAATTAATTAAAAAATAAAATTCATAATTATTCTTCTATACAATAATAAAATTACTTAAATTATTAATTAAAATATATTTCTAATATAATTAAAAACTGTTAATTGATTTGATAATTTATTAATAAAAAAGACGATTTGTTACCAAATTAAATTTTTCAAAAATGAAATATAATTTTTAAAATCACAAAAAATAATTCGTATTTTAATCAAATATTAAAAAGTGTACCCTTTTAATTTTCTAATACAAAATTATGAATCTTTACTTCTTTCACCATTTACAATGCACATAGGGCGTGTTTGATTCGTGGGATTGGAGGGGGGACTATCCACTATTTGGATTACAATCCAAATAGTGCTTCTTATCCGCCGTTTGATTTTTTTTTAGTCCGCCGGACATGGAGTCCGGCCGGACTCCTTATCCCCCATATGGGGGACTATTGTGTCCTGGGGGGTGGGACAGAATGTGGGGGACTATCTACTGTTGGGATTAGATGCTAAAATGATCATTTTGACCCTCTACTATTTAATTATGTATTATATTTACTAAAATTCAATAAAATTTAAATGTCTCAATTTAAAAATAAAATAATTTTATTTAACTTTTTCTTGATGTTTTATTTATTTAATTTTTTAAAATAATTTTTTATAGATATTTTATTGATGTTTTATTTTAAAATTTTGTTTATAATTTATTTAATTTTATTATTTAAATTTTAATAGGTGTTTTATTTAAAATTTTAATTAAAAAAATAATATAAATTTTTTATACAGGTTATACAGTATTAAATGAAATTTTAATGATTTATTAAATAATATAAAAAAAATAATGTCCTCTGTATTTTATTAAAACAAATTTATTTAATAAATCATTGTGTAAAATTTTAAAACAGTATAATGGTGTAAAAAATTTTAACACAGTAATGCTTACACAGTAATCAAATTTTACCCTTTAGTAATGGTTACACAGTAACGGTTACACAGTAATCAAATTTTACCCTTTTTATTTATTTATTTATTTATTTAAAAAAAATAAATTTATTTAATTGTGTAAAAAATAAAATAAAATAAATTTTTATTTAATCTAGCTGAAAATAATTAAAATATTAAAGATATGTTTAATATTACTATTACTTAGTAAATAATTGCAAAGGGTAAAATAGTCGTTTGAGCATTTATCTTTCTTCATAATATCCCAAACAAACATAAGATTCATATACTATAAAACCAAATAGTCCTTTCCAGACATCTAATCTCATGACTAAACAAGCATGAGATACAAATCCAGTTAAACCAAATAGTCCGGGGACAATGAATCCCAGAACTTATAGTCCGGTGGATTCCAATCTCCCTTATCCAGTCCGTTCAAACAAACACACCCAAATAGTCTTGCACTTTCAGATATTATAAAATCCCTTTACCCTCTCTATTATGTGAAGAATAATGACTGGTTGTAATATGCAGGTATAAAGACTGGTTGAGATATTTTTCATTTTTTCCCTTGAAAATAATGGCTTTATTGGCAAGACTCAGATATGCCATCTTGAAACTGTTCCCTCTAATCCCAAAGCAAATCAGGGCCCATCACCATGCAACTGCCCACTCAACTGATCCATTCAACCACAACCAAATACCATAACTATCTAGTAGATTTAATTATCACTCTAGTAAACAAAGGTCAAATCCAACTCACACAGCAGATGGGAGATCATGGTCCTAATATTGTTTTTTTTATTTTTAAATTGAGAAATTTAAATTTTATTGAATTTTATTAAATATAATACATAATTAAATAGTAGATGGTCAAAATTGTCATTTACCACCTAATCTCAACAGTAAATTGTCCTCCCAAAACTGTCCCACACTCTCCCGGAATAGTATAATCTCCCATATAGGGATAAGGAGCCCAGCAGAATTTCATGTCGGACGAACTTAAGAAAAAACAAAATAATAGACTACTCACTCTTTCGAATATACAATCTAAATAATAAATAGTCTCCCATAATTCCCCAATCAAACACACCCATGGTGGCTTTTCTCCTTAAAAAAGAAAAAGAAAAAAAAGACCCCTATCTTCTACTCCGCAGAGACAAGAAGACAAAGCAAGCACAAGCCCACACCACACCACACCTCTCTGTTTTCCTTTTCTTCCCTCTCTAAACCCATCAAAAACAAAAAAATAAACTCTTTTCAATCTCCTTGTACAGCTCAAAACTTCAGGAGAAGTTTCAGCAAACCAGAAAAAACGATTTCAGGGTTCATCAGTGAGATGAACGCACTCCTTTCCATCTCTTTCGTAGTTCGATTCACCCTTAAATTCCCTTGGACCACCGAAATCTCACCCCTGTTTTCCGAAAAATAAGCAATCATCAATTGGGTACACAATAAATTTTGAATTCATCATCATCCAACAGGTTGGTGTTTGTGAATTACTCAAAGCAAAATGTATCTGCATCCTCATCATCACCACCGCCTTCTCCTCCAAACAGATTTAACTCCGCCGCCGGGAAATGGAAGCAGAGCGAGAAACGCTTTCGGCAACGAAACCAATTTCGACACCAACATGGTGATAATCCTCGCAGCTCTGCTCTGTGCTCTGATTTTTGCACTTGGGTTGAACTCAATCGTCCGCTGCGCTATCAGATGTAGTCGGAGATTCGCTTTCGAGTCGCCGGACGAGACGGCGGTGAGGCTGGCGGCGACGGGGCTGAAGAAGAGCGAGCTCCGGCGCATTCCGGTGGCGGTGTATAGGTCAGGGATTGGGATTCCGGCTACTGATTGTCCGATTTGTCTCGGTGAGTTTGCTGATGGTGAGAAGGTTAGAGTACTGCCAAAATGTCACCATGGTTTTCATGTTAAATGTATTGATGTTTGGTTGAAATCGCACTCTTCGTGTCCGACTTGCCGGCAGTCGCTGCTGGATCCTACAGCGGCTGCTGCGGCGGCGGCGGCGGCGGAGAGTTCCGATGCGGCGGAGTTGGAAGGTGGATTCCGGCATCATCATCATCATCATCATGATCATCATCATGGAAATGCTTCAGGAGGAGCTGGACATGGTGGTGATATGACTGATGAAGTGGGTTGAGATTAGCATGAATGAAAACATTCAAAAACACCTTAAAAAAAAAAAAAAGAAAAAAAATAGAGAGATAGAATTAGAAGTTTTTTTTTTTTTTAAATATTTATTTTTTTTAGTAATGTAATTTAGCATTTACACTGTTTCTGGGTTAATGAACAGTATTCAGTTTGACTTAGTGATATACAAATATAATATATATATATATACACACACATAATATATAGGACAAAATATAAGTATATTTTTTTGAGATTTGTTTAAAATTATAAATATTTTCTTGTCAGAATTTTTCATTTAACAAAGCTCTCCTTTACAACAATAAAATTATCTGAATTGTTAATTAAAATAAATGTTTAACATAATTAAAAATTATTAATTGATATGATAATCGGTTCCGATTCGTAGCTTGAATCTGTGGCTCGAAGAGGGGTGGAGAAGAAAAGGAGAAGAGAGGGAGGAGGAGGAGAAGGAGGAGGAGGAAGGAGGAGGACTGGAGGGGGCATATTCAGAGGGAGAGGAGGAGGCGGAGGCGGGGCAGAGGAGGAAGGAGAAGGAAGAGGAGGAGGAAGGAGGAAGGAGGAGGAGGAGGCTGCTGCGACGATCGGAGCTGGGCGACGGGTTGGGAGATCGGCGGCGACGGGCTGGGCGACGGTTGGGCGATCGGCGGCGACGGGCTGGGCGACGGGTGACGGGCTGGGCGACCTTCTTCTCTTCCCTCTCCGTCTCTGTGTTCGAATGGAGGGGAAAGAAATAAAGAAGAAAAAGAAAAAAATAATATTATCTATGTATATATATATATATATATATAGTAATGTTAAGAAATAGAAAGTTATACACAAACAGTTTTCTACTCTCTTTTTTTTCCCCCAAAAAAATAGAAACTAATTTCAGAAAAATAAATACTAAAAAATAATTTTGTAATATTAAAATTTATTTTTGTCTCCCAAAATGATCAAACTACATGAAAATAATATTTTTATTTTATTTTTTACGAAATTATGTTTTAGATTTTAGAAAAAAAAAATTAAAATTCTAAAACCAAATCAAACATTGGTTCATAAAAAATATAGTGGAAGGTGGAGATTAAGGCCAAGTTTGGGGACTTTAAAAAAAGTCAAAAAGTCAAAAAGTTACTCAAAAAGTTAAAAAGTTAACACTAATGGAAACTAATTTCATAAAAATAAATACTAAAAAATAATTTTGTAATATTAAAATTTATTTTGGTCTCCCAAAATGATCAAATTACATGAAAATAATATTTTTATTTTATTTTTTACGAAATTATGTTTTAGATTTTAGAAAAAAAAAATTAAAATTCTAAAACCAAATTAAACATTGGTTCATAAAAAATATAGTGGAAGGTGGAGATTAAAACTAATTATGAAAGGGTTGACATTCATAATAAATCTCAATTTACTATTTCACTTTGTGTGACCTATTTTGTTTTATTAGCATTCGTGTATACAAACTCATTTAGCTGCATTGTGACATAATATTTAAACAAAATGTGAATTTAAAAAATATTTAATTACAGAAACGTTACTATCACATTATTTTATTAACAAATCATGTATAAAAGATTTTGTATGTATAATATTTTTCTATTTTTATAACAAATTATGTATAACATTTTTATATTTTGTTTAGTAATGCAGGTTTTTGGTAAGACTAATTTGTTACACGTTGATCTCTCTCTCTAACCCAGAAAAAGCTAACTCTGTTTGAACTTTCATTGTTAGGCAAAACAGAACGGAGCTTTTGTAATAGAAAGCATGAAGGCTTCCGCTTTAGAAAGGGCTTTCATTGCCTCCTAAAAGAGAAATTTTTGATGTTCAATCCCACCTCCCATTCAATTTGGTTGTTCTACATTGCAAGTTCTACCTTTTAGTTAGTGATTTTAATATATGCATATATATGGTAATTCAAATAACAATTTGACCTAACAAAAGACTTGTAATTATCATTTTTAGTGGTACGGGCTTGAGTTAATAAAGCAATCTCTCAAAAAAAAAAAAATATAATTGTTAATGTATGTATAGTATTCTTATGTATATTAGGTATTGATTTTTTTAGATATATTTGGGAATAACCAAATTTAGATTTTTTGTAAAATATTTTTTCTCCTAGTTAGGTTTCTAAGGGGATATTCTTTCTCAGCCTTCTATTGTATATGATAATTCATTAAATACAATATATATTATTTTTCTCTCTCTCTCTTTCTCTCACTACTATTCTAACACGGCATCAGAGTTAAGTTAAGTACCTAGTAATTTCGCTTCACTGGCGGACGGCAACCTTACCTTGCCCGCCCGCCGGACCTCAACCTATTCCGCTGTCATATTTTCCTGTCAATATCGCTTCGTAGTGATCTCTTCTTTTGTCCGTTGGTTTATTCCTACCCCAAATATCTCTATCATATATATATATATATATATATTTACTGGCACTCTTTTTTTTTTTTTGTGTGTGCTTCTGCTCCACTCTATCTTTCCATCTGCTTCAATCTCAAATAGGTTTATATCTTCAAACCTATTTGAATTTGAGGGGGGATATTATATCTATATCACGGTGAGCATAGTGATATACCATGTGAACCACCTAAGCTGCTCTATTTGGCGCATTCCCTAAGCCGTCTCCCTATAAAGCCGCCTTCTTTGGCTCGCTCTCTAAACCACCCTGTTGGCCCGTTATCTAAGCCGCCCCGTTGACGCACTCTCTAAGCCACCTCTTTGGTGCACTCTCTAAGCCGCCTTCTTTGGCACACACTTTAAGCCGCTCCATTGGCGCACTACCTAAGCTGCTTTCTGTGGTGCACAACCTCTGTTGCCATCATCCATGCGGTGTATCATCTAAACTGCTCCTTGGCGCACATTCTCATAAGTCACCCCCTGGCGCACAAAGTCATCGGTTGCTATCATCGTTCAGTACCACATCATAAGTTATGTATGTGTCACGCTTGTTGGTTCAACATCTAGTCTCTATAACAATCCGGCATGACCCCGTAAATTGTTCTGACATAGATTCCGGCCAATTTCTACAACGGTCCGATATGACCTTAAATTGTCCAAACATTAGTTTTGGTCAGTTTCTACAACGGTCCGGCATGACCTTAAATTGTTCTGACATGGGTTTCGGCCATTTACTACGATGGTCCAGCACGACCTTAAACTGTCCTGACATTAATTCCGGCCAATTTCTATAACGGTTCGACACAACCTTAAATTGTCTCGGCATTAGTTGCGGTCAGTTTCTACAATGGTCCGACATGATCTTAAACTGTCCCAACATTAGTTTCTTCCACAATGGTCCAACATGATTATAAACTGTCTCCCGGTGTTAGCTCCGGCCTCTAATATATCTCAAGCGCTCTTACGCTCCCGTTCAGACTTTGCAATCTATTTATCTTTTATTTTATTTAGTTTTATTTTATATTTTAATTTCTCTGTCTAAACTCAAAATATTTGCCCTTCCTAAATTTGAGGGGAGATGTTAACAACGATGAACAATATGATGACCGTGTATATGATAATTTTTATTGTAGGTGCTTATCAATCTTTTCAAAAATGAGATAAGACTGCGCATATCATATCTCATTTTTCCTTAACTTCACTTTGGTAGTGCAATGCTTCTCCATGCTGGTACCCAAACTATGTCCTCATGTAAGCATCTTGGGCCTTGGTGCTCCATGGCCATATCACATCATGCTGCGATTATCGCGTTGGCTAATTTGTTAGTCTAAATGAGTGTAGGTGGAGATGAACAATACAAGCACATGATTTATAAATATGGACTGGGCTTTTCTTCGGTCCTTAATCAGATTAGAGATGTGTTATTGGATCTATTAGACTTATTTTTGAATTTCGTTTCAAAAATTTAAATTGTTCATATTTTAAAATTTATCAAATACATCAGTTTTGTAAAAAATCAAGTCTATCGAATAATGATAATTACATATTCTAATCAATTTTATATGATTCGTTTATTTTCTCATTGTTATTTTTTTCATACAACACGCAATTTCTGTTGTCATTAAAATGTTGTATTTTACGAATCTTAAAATGTGAACGGTTTAGATTATCAAAACGAAACTTAAAAGTAGGCCGCCTAATAGGCCCAACAACATCTCTCCAATCTTATTAAGGACTGGGGAGGACCCAATCCTATAAATATATACACACATGTAAGAATGCATCGAATTGTGTTTATAGGTAGAGTTTGCACCTATCAGAATAAATGCAATATATAATTCATATATTTTACTAGGATTGCTATCTTCTTCATTACATATTTATAATAGAGAGGCTCAATTATGTTATCTAATGGTAAGTGTAATGATTTTTCTTAATTGAAAATAATTATAAAGCTGCATTCATATTTTATAATTATTAGATATGTAATGAAAAGAATCAAAATCCATTTTACTGTTAAGAAATCATGTGTTTATAGCATTATTGGAATGTGAAGTACATTATAATTAATTAAGATCCGCCATCTATAATGATCAACCCTTGCGATAATTTGCAATGATAGATTAAGAGTCCAAAACATAATCAGTGTAAGGTTAAATTACTCTTAAACCGCCCACTAATTATGTTTTTGATTCTTAAACCACTATTGCAAAATTATTGTAAAAGTGAATTACTGAGGGAGCCTATGATACTATGATACTGCAAAAGTGGATTAGCACATTTCAATTAATTTCAAACTTGAAATTTTGAGACCATTGTAGTCTACAGTTGAAGTGAAAAAAACCATCCTTGTTACAACAAATCATCGGAGCTTGTTTAATGACAGAATAGAATGGAAGAGAGATTCCATTTGGAATGGAAGATAAAATCATTTGTCAAACCCTTCATATTAGCTTTAAAATCCATATAATATTATTCAACTTTTTTGTGCCTTGATTGTAAGATTTGACAGCCACATGGAGTAGAAGCATATATATGAAACACAAGGAATCATAACACACATGGAATTGGAATCCCCAACTCTTCCATCTTCTTTTTTATTTATTATTATTATTTTTATTATTTTTTATTTTCTCACTTTTTCTTTTGTTGTGGGTTACTATGGACCCATTTCTTTCTTTCATTCGTTTGTTCACTCATTCAATACCAACAAAACATTAGTGCAAGTGACTAGGTTTGTGACTGTGTCTGAGATTGAGACATGTTGCAAAGCTGCACTCATCATTGGACCACCCTTTTTTGGTACCTTGTTTGATTGATTGATATCTCTATCCAAGATTTTCCATTGATCACAAGGGATGGTGGCAAAAGAATTTTTTACTTTTTTACTTTTTTTTCAGTGAGTAATGGCTTCAAATTGATGGTGACAAGTAGCAAAGAAGTAATGCTTTGATCCCTCTACCAATTTGTCCACTAAAATTATCTTCGATACTTTCTATCACAGGATTAAGAACTTTGAAGTAGAAATTACATTTCAGAAGATGAAATCAAATAAGGTTTTATGACCCGATGATATCCCTATTGAAGCTTGGAAGTGTTTGAATAAAAAGGGAGTTGGTTGGTGGACTAGGTTGTTTAGCAAAATTTTGTTGACTAGAAACATGTCAGATGAGTGGAGGAAGAGTATTTTAGTGCCAATCTATAAGAATAAAGGTGATGTCCAGAATTGTAACAACTATAGAGGAATCAAGCTAATGTGTCATATAATGAAAGTGTGAGAGAGGGTGATGGAACGCCGATTGCGAGATATAACAGAGGTGTCAGAGAATTAATTTGGGTTTATGCCTGGTAGGTCAACAATGGAAGCGATCTATCTTTTGAGGAGAGTAATAGAAAAGTATAAAGAAAAGAAAAGAGACATTCATATGGTGTTTATCGACCTTGAGAAAGCATATAACAGAGTGCCCTGGGATATAATATAGTGGGTGTTAGAGAAGAAAGGGGAGACAAAAGGTTACATTGACGTGATTAGGGATATGTATGAAAGGGTGGTGACCACTATTAGATCGCCAGCTGGAGAGACAAATGAATTTTCTATCACTGTAGGGTTACACCAAGGATCTACTGTTACAACCCAAACCCACCCCTATGGGTTTAGCACCGTAACCGACCAGTATTCCGTGATTACCGAAAGCCTACTTAACGGTCAAACAATAATACAGAGCACAGGGGCATAGCGGAAGCCAAAACAGTAAATGAACAGTGTCCAATGAGCTGTGACAGTCTGTATGCAAAAAGGACTTTTCATACATATATACCATTAGTGCAAAACAGTATGTACGACATTTACAATCATTCAGGACAAGGACTTAATCCCTATTGAAACAGTATAGTACAGTGCTATCAGTCTATACAACATTACAAAATAGATACAGAGACAGACGGGGGAAATTACAACACCCCTAAGTCATAGCTTGGCAGGCTCGGAACCTCGCAGTGAGGCACAGTGGTTGGCTTGACAAAACTAGAGTTACCTCGACGCTTCTAGCAACGGTCCAGTGCCTGTACACCTATATATATATATGAGCAGTGAGCTAAAGCCCAGTGAATAACATAATGTGTAAAGAGGTTAAGAATGAATGTCCTTGCAGTAATGAAAACAATCATTTCAATCAGTATGTCAGTTATTCAGTCATTACAGTCATATATGGTACATCCAGTAGCAAAACAATACAGTAGGTCTTATCAGACCGAACAGTCAGTTGATGGCCATCATATCAGTAAACAGTAGTGGTTCCAATATGAGAACCGACAAAGATCTCTGTAACAGTAGCAGTAACAGCAACAGTAACAATAGTTGCTAAGGATGCCACAATACAGTTCACAATTAGGACATCATTCATTCAGTAACAGTATCATTTCAGAAAATAGTACAGTTCAATTGTTCAGAAGATAATCATATTTGAACATATCTTTACACTGTTGTTACTCACAGAGTTCTAGGCTACAGTTAAGCTAGAGCGCGTCCTCAGATGCCAACCCTACACAGTTACAAAGTGAACACACACTAAGCTATACAGTTAGGAAAATATAACTTAATCCCTATCTTGACTCGGTGTGGTTCTACATCAATATCCTCATTAAGATACCTTAAACTAGGCCTAAGAATGCCTAGGATGGGATGAGGATGCAAAGATGCACTTGAAAAGCATTTTCAGAATTTTCAGAAAACAGGGTTCACGCTCGAGCGTCGGTTACTCCGCTCGAGCGGACATGCAGACAAAGGTTTCCGTTCGAGCGTAGAATTACCCGCTCGAGCGTAATGCAAAACAATCAAAAGTGCTGGATGTGTGAAAATCACGCTCGATTGGGCGCTTGACACCTGCTCAAGCGTAAGACACAAGGTCCCGCTCAGGCGTAAATTACCCCGCCCGAGCGGACTTCAAAACAGTGTAAAGTGCTGGGAGCACGAATTTCACGCTCAAGCGCCAGTCACCCCGCTCGAGCGTGAGTTCAAAATCTGGAATTCCCAGATTTGAACCTCAAGTTCAAATTCAACTTCAAGTGTATCAAATTCAATTCCTTTGGGCCCATTTCCTGGAAAACACTTGTAAACACATAGTGTACATGATTCAAAACTCAATTTGTAAAATCAAAGCCCAAAGGTAAGGGAATTAAACCCAATTTCCACCAACATTTCAAGAACATGATGAATGTGTAACATGCATGAATTCAACAACTTCAAAGCTTCAAAAGCTGGCTCAATTGAGCCAATTTTTTCCAAAACATGATGAAATCATGGACTATACCAATAATATGGACATGCATGTACCAAATTTCCATGTAGTGAACCTCAAAATGCTAGGATATAACATGAATGCATGATTCAAGCTTTAACTCACCAAATTAAGCTAATTCATGACCTTAATCTCTAGACTTCCATGAACCATGCAACATAAGACTTAATTTAGCAATCAAGAAGATGAGTTCTTACCTTAGGTCTAGGATGCAAGATATACCAGCTCAAATATGCACTCAATCTTTCAATTCCTTCAAATTTCCAAGCAAAATTCAAGATGATGCCAAGTTTCTTTACCTCTCTCTCTCAGTCAGTTTTAACAAGGAATATGGCTGAACAAATATTGTGTTGGATGAAAAATAAGGCTTCAATATGTATTTGACTAAGTGGCCTACTTAATGGCAAAGTTGTAGATTAGGCAACTTATGGGATTAAGCTTAGTTTAATCTAATTAAATCATACCGAATCACTTTTTAATTAAATATGCCATAAAATCACATAAATTCTAATTATCATAAATCATCAATCAATTTCAGATTCGGCCGCCGATAAGCCCTTCAATTTGCAGTTTAAAGTATAAAACATAAACAGATAATTTAACAATCAACAGATAGATATGCATTTAAACTAATACATTCAATCAATCAGTTCAGTATTTCAATCGATTCAATTACTTATCATAATCAGTCTTAGTTTAGCAGTAATTAGTAGGGTTATCAGTAATCAGTGGTGAGGGTTATTACATCTACCTTAAGTCCTTATCCTTTTGCTTTAGTTATGGACGAGTTGATGATAAATATTCAGGATGGCGTGCCATGGTGCATGCTTTTTGCAGACGATATTGTGCTAGTAGATGAGACTAGAGAAGGAGTTAACACAAAGTTAGAGATTTGAAGAAAAGCTCTTGAATCTAAAGGATTCCGGATAAGTAGAACTAAGACAGAATACATGGAGTGTAAATTTAGTAACAGTAACAATGAAAGTAGAAGAGAAGTGAAGATTGAGAACCAAGAATTGCCTAAGAGTGAACATTTTCGTTATTTATGGTCGATTATCATAACAGCAGGAGAGATTGATGCAAATGTGGCCCATAGGATTAAGGCGGGATGGTATAAGTGGAGAAGTGCGTCTGGGGTATTGTGCGATAAACGAATACCCACTAGACTAAAAGGTAAGTTTTATAGAACGGCTATTAGACCAGCTATGTTGTATGGGACGAAGTGTTGGGCAATCAAGAAACAACATGTAGATAAGATGAGTGTGACTGAGATGAGGATGCTAAGGTGGATGCGTGGTAAGACTAGACAAGACAGGATTAGGAATGAGTGTATTCAGAAATGGATAAGAGTAGCACCGATAGAAGATAAGTTGAGAGAGAATCGTTTAAGATGGTTTGGTCATATTCAACGGAGACTAACAGAGGCAGTAGTGAAGAGATGCGATGCCGTAACAGTAGATGGAAGTGTTAGGAGACGGGGTAGGCCTAGATCAACGTTGACTAACGTTTTAAATAGAGATATGAATCTACTTAATTTGACTAATGAAATGGTCTTTGATAGGACCGCGTAGAGAAGAAGGATTCATGTAGCCGACCCCATTTGATGGGACTTAAGGCTTGGTTTGGTTTGGTTTGGTTATCTTTATATTTGCACAAAATTCTACTTTCAATTTCTGATCAAGTTACAGTGTGACGCATATGTGAATCTTAACAAAGTAGAGCATAAAATAGTCACATACTATTTTTCATCAATGTAAAGAGAAACTCATGACTAAAAATCACACTACAATCGAAGTAAAGTTTCGTGTGAAGATAGAAAAATCAGTTGGAATGTTTCATAGAAGCAAGACAAGTTTTAAAGAGTTTTTAAGCAAAAAGAAAGAAATCCCCAAAGGGGCTCATATAAATTATTCGTAAAGCACCCCAAGTCTTTCAAACCAAAGCACACGGCAAACCACAAGACAATAAGAAAAGAAGCTCAAACTCAAGACTACATATATGGTGGTTACATTGTTCATTTAGACAACTCTGCAGACAGATTGTTGGCTAAGCAGGACACAGTTGAAGGAGACACCGCTCTGGTTCCACCCAGATACCATTTCTTGGTCATCTCGACCACATTCTTGTTCTCAACTTGGATCTTTGATTCCTCTTTTCCCTCAGTTGCAAATGCAATCTGTCAGCCAATGGTTCAACACAAAATTAGTACTAGTAACATGACAAATTATAGAGCAATCACAACCTGCTACTTGGCCTCACCAAATGGCAAGTTTTTCTAAGTAGATCATTCACAATTTTAATGACAATTACATTGGATCACATTACCTTTATACGTCACAAAATTACCATAACAAAACTACGAAAAGAGTGTCAATGTAGCAGAATCCAAAAATACATAAAGAAACTCCAGTAATGTATTACTTGCAAAACACATACACAAATAAATATAAATAACAAATACACGACACTTTTTGTAAGACTATAAGCACTCGTCAATATTCTTGGCATTCCTATTTGACAAAATGCCTACTTAAAGTGAAATTGGCTAAAGTGAATGAATGTGAAAAGTCACGGAACAACACTACCTATAATTGGCTCGGTTATTGTGCTTATTGTCAAATGAAAATCATATAACTCTGCTTGTTATTGAAGCAAACTAGCAGATGCTCTTAGTTTCTAAGCATTACCTCTGTAGTGCCGGAAGAGGCGGGGAAATGAAATGTTATGACGGAATCTTTCTTGAAATATTTGGACTGAAAAAACTCGACAACTTGCTCCAAGGCTGCTTCTTCCTCGTCTTCATATTTATCATCTGCTGCCAATCGGTCCCTCACTGCGCTCTCTAGCTGCACTCCATACTGAGAACCTTTGATCTCCTTGATCACCACAACTCTCAAGAACTTCTCAACTGGTGCTGCACATTTGAATTAAAAAGAGTTCAACTTCAATCACACGGCCAAGAACCAATTTCGTAAAAACTGAGACCTTAAGGTAGCATTAATTCGAAAGCAACTATCAGAAAAGATAAGCACAGACACTTTTCAAAAAGTGGTGTGTCCGTGTCGTGTTTGTGTTGGATAGAGACACTCATTAGATACTTCTAGACACGTATTGGCTGAGCACTTGTCTAAATGTGTCCAATTATTGTTAAAAATTATTTAGACCAAAACACTCTTCAAACACTTGGGGAAACATACAAGTTCATCGATTGACACACATGAAACTAATGGCCTTTTGACTTTCTTAGGAGCTAAAAAAGCTAATGAGTTTGGGAAGTTGCTAAACAAGTTGTTTTTTTTGTTTGAAAAAGTCGATGTAATATCTGCCTTTTTAAGTTGATGACAAACAATTTAGTGACTTTTTGATTTTTTTAAAGCCAAAAGTTGACTTTTTTAGCTTGTCTCCAAACACCTAATATTATAAAGTTTGAAATAGTTACTTCGGATGCACAAACAAAAGAAAATTAATGCAGATTTATAGGAATTAATTTTAGATTGCACTTTATTATTATTATTTTATTTGTGAATGATATATTCATATATGACATATCATAATTATATAAAACTATATGTTTTTGCATATCCATGTTTTTAGCAAGAAAGTGTTTGCAACGTTGAATTTACCATCATGACAAAATTTTCTGACCAATTTAATGAATCTGGAAGCTTAAGACTAATCATATTCTCATAAGAATCTTATAAAGTGCTGAATAATAGAAATTCTACACAAGAACTAAGATTTATGAATATAATGTTACTTTTTTAATAGCAGAACTGAAAATCATACCAGAAATGAGGGCCTCAAAGAAGTCATCATCTTCAGCTAGGTCCTTTCCTGTTTTGCCCTTCCATTGCTGCAAATGTCCCACAATTTCAGAGTCCAAGTAAACTCCAATAGCTGTGAACTTAATTTGGAGAAAGTGTATCTCAATGTCCGTAATTCCTGTTACACATCCAACAAAAATTGAGTCAGAAAAATACACATTCAAATTTATTTCAAGTTACACACTATTAGCAATCTTTAAATCATTACCTATTAATTTCTCTTCTGATATATTTGGATGGCTGAATTTAGAAGCAAATGAAAATCTCATTACTATGAATTCAACTCAGTAATTTAATATATGAGGTAGTCCCGCAAGTGTTTGAATAATTCAAGAATTTTATCAATGAGCATTTTATTTATTTATTTTTAAAGAAAAAGAAAAAGGGAGAGAATGTATCAAGTGTTTGGTCCTATGGTACTTGGAACGAGCACAAGAATTAGTATGTCACATGCTCTCAAATGTGATACAATAGTAGTAGGTTTATATAGATCACACTACTAGAATTTAAGGTACTATTAAATATGAGAGCAAATTAGATCACTATTTGCTTTCAATAATTAGACATCCAATAGCCTATAAAAAAAAATAAAAATAAAAAACCTACTAGACATCCAATAAAGTATAGTATATTAATCTTCAATTAATCAAGTATCATTATGGCATTTTTTTACATATCATACAAAAACCTTCACCTCAATGAAAACTTTTTAAGAAAATATATAGGGAAAAATTTTGAGGTCACTTTAAATCTTTAAATTTACTGTTTTGAAACATACATTAGGCAAATCGGTAAGGTATTGCGTTTTTAAGATTTGGTTTAACCTTTTATAACTTAGGATTGAGCTGGAATATGAGAATAGATTAAATTTCTGCTTAATTGTAGCAGATGGGCGTTGAGGGCGTTGTTTGGGCCTGTGAGACTCACCATGAGTCTCGTTTCGATAATTCAAATTGTTTATTTTGTCAAGCATGTCATGTATTTGATTCACAAAAGGTCGACCTGATAATCATAACCTATTCAATTTACTATGTTTTCTACTAAAGAAATGAACAACAAATGTGTTTTTTTGAAAACAAACACAATAAATTGAATAAGTTACAATTATCGGATAGATCTAATTTTTTGTATGAATGAAATTCACAACGTGCCCGACAAAATAACGGTTCGAATCATCAAAATGGGGCCGATGGTGAGCCCCGTGGGCCCAAGCAGCGCCCTCCAGTCCAGATTTTGAACTGGAAGAAATCATTGAAAAGATGATTCCAACTTAAGTAATTAAGAATAATTTTCCTATTTCAGTCTGATCAAAATGATAGAATCACGTGGTTCCGAAATCACATCCACATTACTCCTTGAAATTCTTATCATCATCCACATTCACCCATGAAAGAACACAAAATATATATGTATTTTGTCTACCCAATAATTTCAAACTGAAAATACTAAATAGTAGATCTTAGATTCATCAGATAATATTACTTGAGCATAAAAAAAAGAAGTGGATTTCAAGTAAAAATGGCATTACCATGACCCAGAAGAGAGAGAGGCTTGGTGGTTGTGACCTGAGGGGGAAATGGAATTTCATCCACCATCACCATTTCTGATCCCACTGCACATCATCATCCACAAACAATGAATTAATTCCCATGAGAAACCACACAATTTTATTGATTATAACAAAGAATCACTATATATCATCTGAGCAATTTCAATATTTCCAAGATTTTACAAGTAAGAGTGATTTCAATAGCTCCAAGTGCCAATAGTACTGTTCAAAAAAAAAAAAAAGAAGTGACCACAGAAGTAACAAAATTATATTGAAATATATTTGCTTTGAGAAAGAGAGAGAGCTTACTGTTGAGAGAGGTAGAGGGCTTTGGGGAGTGATTGCTGGGGACAATGAAGAGAGGATGGCGCTGAGAAGGAAGTTAGCAAATGAAGAAATTAATTCAATGAGAAAACTGATAGTGTATCAGATATTTAATGCCCCTCTCTCTCTCTCTCTCTCTCTCTCTCGTAAGAATGATGCTTATGGCAAAGAGAATATGGAAACAATTTTACAGTCTAGCAAATAATATTTTGAAAATCGGACTGGTAAGCGAATTGGAAAAGGGACTTGATGAACGGGTCATCGGTTCAACTGTCGGGTCAAAGCGGTTAAACCGTGACTTTATAATTAATATCATATAATTAAAATATATAACTATAAATTATAAATAAATAAAAATATATATAAATACTCAAATAAAAATAAAAATAAAAATTATTGCATAGTATTTATTAATAATATTTAATGAAGTCATAATTGATAAGAAAAAATCACTTGTTTTAAAGAAATTAAATTTTTTTAATATTCCCTCTAAACAAATTGATTGAATGCTAGATTCAATCTTGGAGAGAAATGAAATTTTCAACTCTTCCTCCAATCAATACGATTCAAATAATTTGATTAAATCCGACATTGAATTTTGTAGGTTCTCTTTGAAAAATCTTTTA